ACAGAGGTTCGTAGCTTTCTAGGCTTAGTCGGATACTACCGGAGGTTCGTAGAGGATTTTTCTTCTCTTTTGGCACCATTAACGAAGTTGACACAGAAAGCAACTAAGTTTCAGTGGACGGAGGCTTACGAGTAGAGTTTCCAAGAGCTTAAGAACAGGCTGACCTCAACGCCAGTTCTAGCACTTCCAGAGGGTCCAAATGGTTATGCTATGTATTGTAATGCCTCAAGTGTCGGGTTAGGGTGTGTCCTAATGCAACATGGGAAGGTAATTGTGTATGCTTCAAGGCATTTAAGGAAGCACGAGAGGAATTATCCGACCCACGACCTCGAATTAGCTGCAANGTAATTGCATATGCTTCAAGGCAGTTGAGGAAGCACGAGAGGAATTATCCGACCCACGACCTCGAGTTAGCTGCGGTTGTCCATGCACTTAAGATATGGCGGCATTATTTATATGGCGTTCATGTTGATGTATTTACAGATCATAAAAGCCTGCAATATATCTTCAAGCAGAAAGAATTGAATTTACGACAGAGGCGATAGCTTGAGTTATTGAAAGATTACGATGTTAACATTCTCTACCATCCAAGCAAAGCTAATGTGGTAGCAGACGCCTTAAGTCGCCGATCTATGGGTAGTTTAGCACATGTAGAGGCCGAAAAAAGAAAATTAACTAGAGAGATTCATCAATTGGCTTGTTTGGGGGTTCGGTTAGTAGACTCTGACGATGGTGGAGTTGTACTCCAAAATACTGCAAAATCATCTCTCATAGCTGAAGTAAAGGAAAGGCAGTACGAGGATCCAGAGTTGGTCTAGTTCAGAGAGCGATTTTTGCAGCAAGAGAAGCCATTATTAGAGATCAAGGGAGATGGAGTTCTCAGATATAGGGGTCGTCTGTGTGTTCCAGATGTAGCAGGGCTACGAGACAGGATTATGTCGGAGGCACATTATTCGTGGTACTCCATTCATCCTGGGTCGATGAAGATGTACCATGACATTAAGGATGTGTACTGGTGGAACGGTATGAAGAATAACATTGCTGAGTTTATCGCTCAGTGTCCTAGTTACTAGCAGGTGAAGGTAGAGCACCAGAAGCCCGAAGGGCTAATGCAGACTATAGAGATCCCGACATGGAAATGGGAGGCGATAAACATAGACTTTATCATGGGTTTACCTCGTTTTCATCGTAAATTCGATTCCATATGGGTGATAGTCGATAGGCTCACGAAATCAACTCATTTTCTACCGGTCAGATCTACATATACGGCAGAAGACTATGCAAGGTTATATATTAAGGAGATAGTGCGGCTACATGGAGTACCAGTATGTATTATATCTGACCGTGGGGCCCAGTTTACAGCACATTTTTGGAGGTCATTTCAGCGAGGTCTAGGGACTCAGGTGAATTTCAGCACAGCTTTTCATCCACAGACTGATGGACAAGTTGAGCGCACAATTTAGACGCTCGAAGATATGTTACAAGCATGTGTGTTGGAATTTAAAAGAAGTTAGGATGAACATTTACCTCTTATCGAGTTTGCATATAATAACAGCTACCACTCCAGTATCCAAATGGCTCCGTACGAGGCTTTGTATTGGCGTAAGTGCAGATCTCCTATAGGGTGGTTTGATGTTGGAGAATCTGGGTTACATGGGTGAGACCTGGTTCAGCAGGCCATAGAGAAAGTAAAGCTTATACGAGAGTGACTGTTGACAGCCCAGAGTCATCAGAAGTCATATTCTGACGTGCGGCGACGAGACTTAGATTTTGGAGTTAATGACTGGGTATTCTTAAAGGTGTCGCCTATGAAGGGCGTGATGAGGTTTGGCAAGAAAGGCAAGCTTAGCCCACGGTATATTGGGTCTTATAGGATCATTCGGAGAGTGGGCCAAGTAGCTTATGAGTTGGAATTGCCGTCGGAATTTTAGTCTGTCCATCCGGTTTTTCACGTATCTATGTTACGGAAGTGCATTGGAGATCCTACCCGGGTGGTGTCCACGGTTGATATACAGATTACGGAGGACTCGTCATACGAGGAAATTCCGGTTTTCATCCTAGATAGACAAATCCGCAAGCTATGAAATAAGGAGATAGCCTCCATGAAGGTTTTATGGAGAAGCAAGAATGTGGAAGAGATGACATGGGAAGCGGAGGAAGAAATGAAGTCTAAATACCCCTCCCTATTTCAAACTGAATATATGGCTTGAGGTGGGATACCTCAGCACAGCTCTATTCAGGCCAGTAGGTCATCAGGTAAGCTCTCATTTTTGACTCTCAGAATTTATAATGGACAGTTGTGTGAAGCCAAGCGTTGCTATTTATAGACATTGGCCATGTGTGGCATGTATAGTATGTTTTCCGGCTGCGTACAGGTTAGTTTTAGTCTAGTGTACGGAGGAGACTCTTGCCAAAAAAAATTCCCAAAGTATCTAAGAGTAAACATTCAAGGACGAATGTTTCTAAGGGGGGAAGGATGTTACATCTTGCTTTTTATACGATTAAAGTTTCGTCTTCAGCTAATTGACATAGACTCAGGAATGAGATTTTCTTGAGATTATAAGCATTTATGCTATTTATAACAAGCAATAAGTACGTGCCGTAAAAGATAAAGGGTAAACGAATCAAAGAAAATGAGTTTTATTGAAGGTTGTTGATTTGAGATACAATACGGTCCGAGCGATAATACCGGTATTTATGGACTAGTGCCATACAAGGTACTACATGATCATGATAGTAAAGTGTACAAGGTATATTAAAAGTGAGTAGTATTTTAAGTAAGTTGATATAATTCTTAATTATATGGTTAATTGGTTAATTATTGGGTAATGGGATATTACCTGATTAATTAGGTATATATTGGATAAGGATTAAATGGCATGACGTGGAAGCCCCCCATTCAAATTAAGTGACTCACAATCTTGATTGAAAGGTGGCCATCTAAAGTAATATACATATGACACTTACGTGTAAGACATTTAGTAAGTTTGGCTTCATTTGGAATTAAAATAATCAAGTAAGAAATCATATAACCTTCTTCCTAATTCAAACATTTCAAAACAGACGCTAAACTCAATCCAACAAGTTTTCAACAAAATTTCTTGCAACAAAACAATTCCAACGAGAATTATTAGCACCTTAGCAATGAAAGATTTTGCGGTTCTAAAGGAGTACAGTGCAACCTTATCCAAGAATATTATATGGATTTTTCCCTACTCCAGGTATGTTAAGGCTAAGCCCTTCCTTCATTTTGGCATGATCTCGTAATTACATGTGTTTAATAACAAGGCATAAAGAGAAGTTCATACTCTCGAATTTATGTATACTTTTATAGTCTCGTAAATTATAATATTCACCTTATCGGGACTTCATATTTAATTGAGTATTCTCTTGTTCTAGTCAAGAGAGCAGAGAGCATATATATGNATATATATATACACCGAGCCTTATAAGACCAGACAACTATTCTACTTACTATATTGAGAGAGTTGAGTCACTATCAGCAGGTGGGCATATATTCAAATTATCTTTGACTCCCAGTTACTTTCAGCTATTATTATTATAAGTTTAGTTTCAGCTTTTAGTTATATTATTGCCTTGCATACTCGTTACATTATTTCGTACTGACGTCCCTTTTTCTGGGGACATTGCATTTCATGTGTGCAGGTTCAGATAGACAGACGGGTAGACCTCCTCAGTAGGTGTTGCCCGAGTTCAGCTTTATCGGTAAGCTCCACATCCTTCGGAGTTGTCGGGTCTAGAGTTTTGTATACATTATGTATACATATGTATATAGGTTATGGATAGGTCGGGGCCATGTTCCGATCTCAATACATCCATCAGTAGAGGCTTATAGACGTTTCCTGTCAGTTAGTGCAGTATGTTGGGCTTGTAGGCCTTGTATGTATAATATGTTGGTTTGTCAGCTGTAGTAGCGATGACGGCTTTGTCGGGCCCGCCTTATATTGATCTTTAGCCAGTAGTAGTTTTCGTTCCGTTTTATATTTTGCTTTGCAAATCGTCTTGCAATATGTGGCCCCATGGCCAAAGGATGACATTATATGTTCAGAGTCCCTTTGTCGCAAGTTGATACGCAAGGATAGATAAGGCATCGGGTGCCGGTCATGCCCCCCGGGTTTGGGGCGTGACAAAAGAAATACCCCTTCACTTTCTAGATTGAACAAGACTCACCATTTCATTTTGTACACACTCGGGGTAAGTTATTGACATCACGGGACATACACAGAATATCAACGAAAATATTACCCACACATTGACATACTACTTACTCAGGACCGGATTTATCTCTGCTCTCTAATCAAAGCGCTTGAGACAATTCAAGAATTTATAGCACATACACACAAGTTAATACATAAGCCTACGCATCAGAATTAAGGCACTCACTAAACTTAGGCATACAAATCAGAAAAAGTTCCTCCAATTTTCACAACGACACCGGATTCTCTACTCCTAAAAAATAGAAACTAACTACACCTTGTTCAAGAATTGGCCCTTGAAAAACAAACACAGCACAACAACCAAAGGGTTGTTACTACAGTACCTATAGGGGTGGCAAGCGGGTAGGTCAGACATGGTCGGGTCAAAAATGGGTAATACAAAAATGAGTAAATTATCCGATTTGACCCATATTTAATATGGATAGAAAATGGGTTAACCGGCGGATAATATAGATATCACCCCGAGTTTAATTTTTTGGAAGTATAAAAGTGAAACCCATTGGTTATCCATTTTTTTAGTGGATAATATGGATCTTATGCATATTAGATCCATTTTTAAAAAATTCATTATCCAACTCATTATTTAGTGGATAATATGAAAGGATAACTATTCTTTTATCCATTTTGCCACCACTAACTACCTATAAAATAAAATATAAAATAAAAGGCGTATTTTAAGTTTTTTGAATTTTTTGTATTTTAAAATAAACTTAGCTACTAACATGAAATAACAAAATACTAACTATTACATGCCAATTAGAATTTAGAGTTATCATTAAAGGCCATATAATCTAATAAAGAAAGAAACAAGTCAAAACAAAGGTATGTGACAAACAAAAACAAAGTAATAACAAACCATTAGGAGTTACCCACCCCAAACCTAAGAAAAAGCATTGTCCTCAATCCAAAGTAAAAAGAACAAGAGTGTAAAAGTGACTCTCCGAGGCCCCGGGCCTAGTCATTGGCACCATTAGAAGTGCTAGAAAGCTCATCATCTGATGCCATAGAGTTGACATCCTCATCATATGGCAATATACCACCTTACTCCAGTCGTAGAAACTGCCGAGTATAGTAGAAAGAGGAGACTGCAGTTCTAACTCTGCAATATCCATCTCCTCATCCTGCTCATGAGGCCACATATCGACAAACCTGAACTGGATAGGCTCTTCCATACGAGTCATCCTTTGCTACATGGTGATTAGAGAACTCTGTGGACCCACAGTATCATCCATGGTTGTGGTATCACATAACCTCGTAGTCCCATCCAACTCCCTATCATGAAAGGGATCCTCAGGTGCACCATTGCCTGTCAGAAACTTATCTAGCATGCTTGGAAAGAAAAGCCTCTCCGCGCCCTCGTTCTAGACCTTGGCCATATCGGTAAGCATTATCTTCCCCATACTGATCTTCATCTTGGTCATGAATGCAGATACCAAACACATCTGAATGCATGTCACATGGTGTCATAAGATGTGGAAAAAATCCAGACATTGATCAACCTCAATATCATCTTGGCAGGCAGAGACATGTAGCTATGCTACAAAGTAGAATGGAACCTATCTTGGTCCCTATAACAAGTAGCCAAAGATTAGACACCACAAAGTGTATGGCAATAATCCTTGTATAGTGTCCTCCTTAGAAAAGACTCGAGCATTGATGGAAAATTTTCAGGAAACCCCTTAACAAGACTGATATCATGGTACACAAATTCCAGTTGCTTACCCAAATTGGGATGACATACTCTCCATCTAGCTCAAACCCCGGCTCCCAGTTGGTATAAAATTCCTTAACTATGCTTATATTCAATGGGCCCATTATCTGAAATAAATTTTGCATCCACATGTGCTGGATATTGTCATGCAAGGTTGGGTACTTCCGCTCCAACTTCTTCTCATCAATGCCTTGCTCAGGGGTGGGCTCTATCATATCCTTGTTGAGCTGAAACCAATACCTCACATACGGATTCACTAACCAAATAACAAACATGCATGGCACGTAGTCATTTTCTTTCGTTGCAATTTTCTCAATAGGTTGATGCTCAACGGGTGCGGCCCATCTACCTCTCTCGTGGTTACTTAAAGCAACTTTAGAAGTGCTAGTGTTATTACATTTAGCACGACAAGACATTGTACTTACACAAGATAAACATCATCAACAATGACACATAGAATATAAGCACTAACGAGAACTTAGACTACCGCACACTTATTTGTTGGCGCATTCACAAGCAACAATTTTGTGGGGATTCAAACTATCTCATATCAAAATAAGACTAGCTATTCACCGCCACGCCAAGCAAATCGGCATACCAAGACATCACAAAAGCTACCACAACTCGGCAATAAACTACACTAATTTAGACTATAAAATCAAAATAAAGAAGTTATATTGAGCATTACGCAGGACCTGACAAATTTAGAGGTAATAAAGAAACAAAGAGCATCACTTGCACAAGGTGGAGGTCAGTTGGAACTCGGGGACAACATGTCCAAAATCGCAATTGTCAAACATGAACAACCACCCCACACTTAAAAGATTCATCATCCATCTCATAATCAAACAAGTACTACCAAAAACTATGTTCAAAATCACAACTTTATTTCATTCAAGCGTTTAATCGAATACCTAGCATGTATTAGGTTGTAATCACAATGTTCAACCATAAAGTAAGGTGATCTCCACCAATCTCAATATAATTTCAAGTAATACATATCAATATTGTCAACTCAACAAGTGAAACAAAAATACTAAGCAACAGCCTACCAAGAGAGCACAATGTCTACACAAACAAATTAGAAAAGAAATAAAAGAACTAACTAAAAACCAAAATAAAAAGCAGGTTGCCTAGGTTTAGCGGATAAAGGTTGACATAATAAAAATAAAATAGGAGGAAGATATATGAAAAAAATTTACCTTGATAATGGAGGACATTGGATAGAGAGGGGAGAGAGTAGAGGATATTTGGGGAAGTTGAGAGGAATCGAGTGAGAGAATAAAAAGGAGGGGTGGCATCGGGTAAAAGGAGGTGGGGCGTTGGGGTGAGGGGGTCGATTAAGAATTAAAAGTTCCTATCTTTTCTATTCTTTTTTTAAATTTGGACTGAACTGTCTCTGCACGACGGTCCACACGCAGGCCAACATGGTGTGACAAGAGCATTGATTAGTGGTCCTTTTTTACAAAATCCGAAACCTGATGAAGCTCATGACGTGCCACACAGCATGTCAAGCCATTTTCTCTGATGTCCTATATTTTTTCCTACTCTTTTATATTTGATTTCATTCTCGGGTCTTGTCTTTACTCTTCTTCAGATTGAATCATGCTTGTACATACTCCTAAACACATACCATTCATGAAATACAACTAATTGTGACTATAAGAATCAAAACTAAACTAAGAAAGTAGAAAACATGTTAGAAGTAGTTCGGAATTATAGTCATTAGCCTGATTCTCCACTTTCTAGGCTCATTTGAATATGATGCTAGAGGATTTCTTGTCAAATCCTCCAGCAACATTCAATTTGTGCCCATTCGTATTAAAACTCTTAGTTCCCTCTATATTTTGAATTTCAATCGCCCCATACGATGAGTGTTACACCCATATTTTCGTACTTGATAGTACGACGTAAGTCAACTGATGTAAGCTCAGAAATGATATTATATTTGAAAGTAAATAAAGTAAGTTAATCATATTACCATGGAGGTTACAAATTTTTATGATCATGGATAACAAGTACTAAGAGGGTTGAAAGGATTAGAAGCTAAACGAATAGAAAAAAATAAATTTCGTCGAAAGTCGACAAGTTGGGAATGTTATGACATGTACTTTGGGGTGATACTAGGGTTCTTAACATAATAAGAAGGTTATGCTATGAGTTATTTTAGTCTTATGATATTTGTGTGTTACATTTTGAAGTCAAGCGAGTTGTGGAACAAAAGTTGGCAAAGGTCATCACAAGTTATATTCATAATGTACTGAAAATTAGGACAAATGTAGCAGAGTTTTTCTTCTAATATACTTGGAATTACAGAATTACCCACATATAAAATTGAATATCTACGAGTCTAGTTTCTAATGCATTAAACCGTTTGCCAATACGACATCGGAGCAGAGAGATATTCACATTTTTGCGAGACTGAGCAAGCAGCTCCTGATAGGACCCACTTAGGCGGTGGATGACTCTTGAATATTTAAAGGGTTTGGACAGCTTATTTTTTGTCATTTTCGACCAAGGACAGTTCCCAAAGTCTTTCAACACCTCTCTAATAGTCCTCCGTAGTTCCAAGTCGAATCCAAGGTGGTTTTGCCTAGACCTAACCTCAAAAATTAGCCTAAATGAAGAAAAGAGTCTCTATGGTATTGTGATACCATTAAGGGTGCTTGTAAGCTAAGGGAAGCTTTGGTTCGAGTTTGTTCTGATTATGTAAGGTATGTATAACACTTTGTTGCTTGGGCTTAAGCTTATCTATATGTTGGTTAAGTTATTTGGATGAAGAATTACATGTCGTATAAGAAGTTGTTGTCTCTTATTGGACGATTTTGGAGTTGTGTATGGCTGGAAATTATGGAAAATAAGTTTGTTATGATATTGTTAGTATGATTATGTTGGTTTACACGTCAATCTTGTTGAGAAATTGGTAACTAGAAAAGAAATGTCTATAAAGCACATGGAAGTTATCCATAGTATTATTATCTTGTGTTAGGCCATTTCAGGTAACTTTGAAATTGAGTATAAGGTTAAAAATCCTTTAAAAGGTATTGGTTATTATACTGGATATATTACTAAGTTCAAGAATAAATGATAATGGGGTTGAAGGGTGATAAAGGGATTCAATTCGAGCTTGCCGCTCGTCGTGATATGTTGATGACTTGTTAATAAAATATTTTCTACCCTATTGTTGTTGTTGTTCTTATTCTATTGCTCTGGTTATTATTGTTGGTATATGATATTGGAGGAGGTCCTTGTTACTGGGTATATGCTGCCCAAATTTACATAAACGAGCTACTAGTTTAAGTTGTAGACTTAGCCTTTACTCAGCACTTATTTTGAATCTCCTTATGTTATGGTAGATTGAGTTGAGTTGTTTGAAGTATTTCTTAGAAGGTATTAAGGACTCAACAAAGTTAAGGTATGTTAAGGCTATCCCTTATTTCCTTTTGGCATGATCCATATGATACAACGAACGAGCAAACACGCAACTTTCACAAGTGACTCTATTCTTATAAGTACTAGAGATGCCTATGTTATTGATTCCCCATGTGTCCTATTATTATATCGTATGTTCATGGGTCTCGGAAAGTATGTAAGTTGTTAAAGTTTATTTCATGATATTATCGAAACGCATATTGATCTATGACATCCCAAAAGATCTTATAGACTTACTTCATATGCATTGCATTCATTTATACATGTACATTGACCAATAACCAGATGGAATTATATACGTGTATATTATATGTATATGGGGTATGGGGAAAGGTTATGGCATTATATACGCACCACCACCTGATCAGCTGGTATACGTTGATAATTTCACCCACAGAGGCCGAGGTGATATGATGGGATTCCCTCAGAGGCTTGATGACGTTATGTACGCATATACCTACGCATGATATGATATTTATATGCATATGCATGACATTATAAATGTTTCATGATTCACAGAGCTATTCAGACTTACAGGTTGAATTCTTTACTCCATGTTTCTTTCATGTCTTTTATATACTGCTTTTCATGCCTTACATATTCGGTACTTTATTTGTACTGACGTCTCTTTTGCCTGGGGACACTGCGTTGCATGCCTGCGGGTTCCGATAGACAGATTGACAGTCCTCCTAGTAGGCTATCAGCTCAGCGGAAGGTGTTGGTGCACTCCACTTGCACCGGCGTTGCCTATTTGGTTAGTATACTTTGGACATGTATAGATTAGTATGGTGGGGCCCTGTCCCGGCCTTTATGATGTTTATGTACTCTTAGAGGCTTATAGACATATGACATGTATATGGATGATTGTATGGCCTTGTCGTCCTATGTTTTGAGTGTACTGATGGTAGGCTATAATCTCGTGTTTAAGCAACTTATTGCACTCTAATTTACTGCACTTTTATTGTTTTTGAGCTTTAATCGCTAGTGTTTTGTACTTACTGTATTTTTTTATACCTTGTATGAATGATTACGAGCTATGTAGATGTATGGAATGTATTCAAGCTATTTAGAGCTTTGAAGTCTGAGTAAAAGCCCAAGAAATTAAGTCGGTATCGCGTTCGGGGGTCGAAAACTAGATCTGGATATCAAAAAGCGAGGAAATTTCGGTACTCTGAGAAAAGCAAACAGCCGCGGCGCGTAGGGCGGTGCGTGGGGTGCCGAGCTTATACATTTCTCTGCTGCCTGACATATTTCAACTCTCTGGATTTCCCCACTAAGGAGGAGTTGGATGAGCAAAAGCACAAGGAGTTCATAATTCAATCCTCACTCAAGACCCGAGTTTGGATCGTTTTATGTTTTCCTTTACTTTAAACATATTAGTGATGAACTGCTCTATATCTATGGAGTAGTTCTCTTTAGGGTTTGATGGATTTTGTGTGTTTATATTTGTTTGTGGATTATAACTCTAGTTTTATGTATTAAAGCATTGTGGATGATTTAATTATTGCATCTATATTCACTTGTTCATGTAATCGAGAGAGGCATAACTTGTGATATATTTATTTTATATTGTTGGTTGAGTTCATTAATTTTTCTTAGTAATCGAAAAAGGCTAGTTGAATTATAGATTAAACCTAGTTAGGAGGATAATCGAGAGAGGTTCTCCTAAAGACCAATCCACTACGTATTCTTGCATATCTTCACGTGCTTAAATTGGTTCATCTTGTGAGGTTGAGACTTAATCGAGAGAGGAGTTTCTACTAAATGTTTGAAATAATAATTGAATGAATTAGAGAGACTCACTTAAACATTAGAAGTGAATTATCTAGAGTTAGAACCCAAACGATTATCTTGCACTTATCCAGTCAACCCCTATTTTCTCCCACTGATAACTTCCTTGCTTTCCTTTGTTGCGATTGTCATTAGTCAATAGCTTTAGATTCTAAGTTAATTTTAGTATTAATCATATAAATCTAAATTATTGATCATCTTGGATAGCAATCCAGCTACAACCTACGATAATACTGTTTAACTCCAATCCCTATGGATACGATATTATATTATACTATCTTTGACTAGAAAGCATAATTTAAGTGTGTGTTTCGAGCTCGTCATGTATAAATAATCTTTTCGATCCTATAGGCCCGTATTTCACATGTATAAGTTTGTATTCCATGTTGGGTCGTCCTATATCGAGTATTCCCTTATGTTTTATCCTTGTTATCTCATGACAGCCTTTCCGGCTCATTTACCTATGATAGTATGATAAGAAAGATACATTGTGTAGGTACTCGGTAGAGTAAGGCATTGGGTGCCCGTCGCGGCCCATCGATTTGGGTCGTGACAATGAGATATGCTTCACCACAAGTGGTCTAGTCCATCTTGACTTGAATATTTTGAGGAAAAGTCTAAGTCAACTATTCTGTAGTAGAATCTTATCCCTTCATGGAACTCCTTTGGATTAATCAGATAATCCAGCTCGTTCATATGCAACAATCTATTCTCATCTGCAAGACAAAGATCAAGATTAAGTAATTTAATTGCCTAATATACTTTATACTTTATCTTAACTGGTAAATGACACGATTTTTCAAATAGTAACTTATGTGGTGAAGTCCCTATGATTGTTTTAAACACAGTTCTATATGCCCATGGAGCTTCATCTATCTTCATGGACCAATCCTTAGGAGAATCCTACTTGTTTTCTCAATAATTCGTTTAAGCTCACAGTTAGCCACTTTAAGTTGCCTGCCAGTTTGCGTGTGATACGGGATTCCCGTTTTATGAGTTACCCTGTATTTAACTAGAAATATAGATAACTTCTTATTTACAAAATGAGACCCATTATCGTTAATGATGACTCGAGGTGTCCCAAAACGAGTGAATATATTCTTTCTCAAAATTTCACATACCACACG